CCCCAAAACCCCAAAACCCCAAAACCCCTCTAAGTTATCTTAAAATTGAAATATTTAAGGGTAAAATATGAAAAAATTTCTCATGTCTTCCTCTTCACTTGTGTTCAATATCTTTTGCTATTTAGTATTCCCGAATATTCTTAATGATTGTTCTAAAAATATAGATTTTGAAGGAATAAACAAGCAAGCCACAATGCATTGGATGGATGACTGTAAGAATAAGAGCGAACACAAGTCTCAACATAAAGTTAATGTTTGGAATAGATCCTTAACTAGCATTTTAACAAAAACTTCTCTCATATATTTGGTCTACAGGTTCTTGACCTATAATCCTTGTGCCTTCAAATATGAATTCCTGTGTTTATTCTTAAGGCACTATTTTGAATCTGACAGGGTGGTGTTTAAGATAATAATTAGATTGGGAATGGAAGTCACACAAAAGCATAAAGATCAATTCCAGAAACTTGTTCTCTTGGAAACGAAATTAGGCCAGGGCGAGGATTAGTTCTAATCCGTGATGTAGGTACTCTTTCATGCTAAGCGTAGACAATTTGAGAGAACTGCAGACAAAACATGCCTCTGTATGATCAAGAAGGTGTCCTTGCTCAATGTTGACGGTAAGCCCATCAACCAAATTTAGGATCCTTTAACAAACTGCACAGGCATGATGAAGTCTAAAGCAAACACAAAGCCCCTTGAGTTGGTCGAGCAAGCAATGTTCCTGAGATCTAAGAGAGCAAACCTCTAAGTAGCACTTGAAGCAGTATCTTTTTAGTTTTTTAGAAGCATCAAAAAAGATTGACCTAACATGTGAAATTCTATTGTGACAATAAAGCTATCTCAAGTAAAGAAATACATTCTTTTACATCGTTAAGAAATCAAGCTAAGAGTCACTCTATTTAATGATATTTACACTATAAGTAACAAGCGAACTTTGAGGTAAGGCTATTCATAATCAGAATGTCCAGAGCAACTGTTTTTCTGGTCGTCTCTCCCATCACAGCCCATTTCCTTTATAGAGCAGAAGGCACTGCCTAGACGTTTAAACATAAACTCTAATTATAAACAAGAAGAGGAAGATTGCTTTCAACTCTGAACTGATCTTGCTTCTCGAAGCCAGACACCAAGAAATTAGGGACACCATCCGAGTGCTGACTATTAGCTGCCAAAACCGGAAGAATAATAATATCTTCTTTCAATAATTTTAGAGAAAATTGGGGTTTTGGGGTTTTGGGGTTTTGGGGTTTTGGGGTTTTGGGGTTTTGGGG